AATATATTATATCATCATTTTATATTATTAAAATTATTAATGAGAGTTAGAGTTCCACCAAAAGATCATGAATTGATTGGGAAATCTTTGGATAATAATTCAATTCATAAAAGAAGATAAGAGTTATGGGAAAAATAGATGGGGTCCAATTAAGTATGTTAAGGATATATTTCTAACACTCAGGGAAGTGCTGAGTCAGGAATTAAATAGTTTTTATCATCAATGAGGAAAAATGGAAGTTTTCAATAAATAGAAAGTCAATGTAAACCAAATATTACAGATAATGAAACTGAAACGCCCAATAAATCATAACTGAAGATTACAGAGACATAATTATTTACACCATTGCAAAAAAATACATAAAAAAATTAAACCACTTATGATATATTATCATAAATATATGAATTATAAAATAGAAAGAGTAGAAATCAATCACTTTTAGAGGAATTAATGAGAAAAACTAAATAAGCAAATGACAATTTAACGTTTCAAAGAATATTATAAAGGAAAAAGTATTATAAAAGATCATAGAGATGTTAATCAGTGGCTTAAAAGGAATATGAATTAGAATAATTAAAAGGTTAATTAATTTAAGTGAAATAAGTTCAAGTTCAATAAATTTAAAAGGAACAAACTCCTAAATAACAAGAGAAATTAGTTCCACTTTTGATTAGAAAAGATAAAACAAGAAGTCCACCATCTAAAGATAATGAAAGAAAGAAAATACAAGTTCCTATTTGCAAAGCCAAAAAAATAGTTATTGATGATACTAGATTTTGGGATATTGGATTTACTAAATTTATATAGAATCCAAGTTATTAGGAAATCAATTAACTAATTAATTTTTGTAATGGTATTCAAGTAATTCCAGCATTACATTAAAAATATTATAAATTGTTTGTAGGTAGAGGCAATAATCATATGATGATAAAAGGAATATTTAATTTAAGACCATAATGGAGTATTGCAAATTCAATTGATGATGATACTGAAATTAATTTTGTTTGGACTTAAAAATTCATTGATTTACAACCTTCAGAAATAAAGTCTATTCCTCAAACTATCATATCTGAGGAAATTAATAGTTGGATTGATTCTTAATAAATGACTTTGATAAGATAAGCTTGGGATAAGGCTGAAGGAAAATCAAAAAAGAAATTAAATGAATATAATATAGATAGTCCACCAATCTTAAATAATGTAAATATATTATATTTATTAATTTAAGTTACATAATTATAAGGAATTAACTCAATTAAATCATTAAACTATGAACATTCGTATTCATAACCATCTTAAAGGTGGTAATCAATTAGGTGACAAGAAATGGTTGTTTCATAATCTTTCTGAATATTGTTCAGAATAAAGTATTGATGTATGGAATTACATTCCATTAACTTATCATATACATGGCCCAACAGATCGAGAATTTATTAATTTCTAATAAACATTCTAGCATCTGTCTTAAGACAAGGATATTAAAAATATATGGATAATAAAACCAGGAGAGGATAGTAATAGGGGCAATGGTATCAAAGGTATTTTAATTAATATTAACATTTTTATAGTAACAAATCAAATGTAAGAAATTGTCCAACACATTTCTCAATAAGGACATACGTTTATTCTTTAAAAATACATAGAAAATCCATTTTTATATTAAAAGAGAAAATTTGATATTAGAGGTTATTGTTTGATTACTATTATGAATGGAGTTAAAAGAGGTATCCTTTGCTGATAGAAATAGTTTATTAGTTTATTGGTACAAAAAAGGTTATTTGAGAACATCAAGTAGTTTCTTTACTTTGGAATCTTTAGACAATCAGAAAATACATTTAACTAATGATGCTATATAAAATAAATTAAATGGATATGGAAAATTTGAAAAAGGAAATAAAGTCTCTTATGAATAATTTTAAGCTTATTTGATAGAACATAACAAGTAAAATAGTACATTTTACAGTTTCGATGAATTATATGCTGATATGAAGGTATGGTATTTATATTTAAGTAAGGCTCTTACTAAATTGGCCACTCAATCAGCTATAGATAAAATCACTAATGAGGATTAAATTTTGGGATTTGAATTGTACGGTTTAGATTTTATGATTTCAAACAATTTTAAACCAATTCTTATAGAATTTAATACTAATCCTTGTATAGAAACTGGTTGTCCTGTGTTGACTAAAATAATAACAGGACTTTTAGAAAATCTTATGAGATTCATTATTGATCCTTTATTTCCAGCAAAAAGAATGGGAAATGATGATTTCATGAATAAAAATGATTTTGAATTATTATTATCATGTTGAAATATAGTATTATATGATGATTTATAAAATAAAATTTATTAAATAAATAAATTTATTTGTCTTACTTGAAGAGTTCTAAGGTGAGTTGTAATCATATATAAATTTATTGTTATATTAATTTAAATTTGAAATAAATGAATTTCGATAAAAGTCTAAAAAATAGGCCAACTCTATCTTTCACAGGATTTTCACCATCAAAATCAAATATTAATATTGAGGCTTCTCGAAAGAATCTGCAAAGTTCATCCTTTGGATCACCACATCATGCATAATCACTTGAGGCTTAATTGAAATAAGAATTTGAAGCTTAATATAATGAAAGAATTTTAACAATGCGAAGTTTTTATGATATGAAATATTAAACACTCTTTGAAACAGTTAAAGAAGCACTTGATAAAGTAGAGTTTAAAATATACAAAGTTAGATTATGAATGATGAATTAATTGATACAATGAGACAAGATATCACCTCATAAGAATTTGTTTATTAGAGAGTAAGAGAGATGTTTGAAGAAATAATACTTAGTGAAAGAGAAGTATTAATAGAAAAGCTTTCTTCTTAATATGCATATCTCAAAATGGAATTTGGAAAAATTGAATAAGATAAAAGAAAAGTATAATTATCATCAATTATGTAGTTAGCAATAGAATTATAAATAATATAGGATGAATAAGCTGATAAAGAAGCATAGGCTTAAAATTAGGTTTAATAAGCTTAGGAATAAATTTCATATTTATAACAGAATAATGATTAGCTGTAATTATTTATTATTTAAGTTAAGGAATAATAAGGTTTCTTAATTAGAATAAAAACTGTCTTCTGCTAATTAAACTGCTAAGGAAGTTCAATAACTTTAGACTACAGCTAAAGAATATAATATATTGAAAGAAGAATATGAATAATTAGTTTAAACAAATGAAAAATTATAATTAATAAATAAATAGTAAGTTTAAGAAATAGAATAATTACATAAAATAAGTGAAAATTTATAATTAAAAGTATAATAATTGAATAAAATTTATTAAGAATTAGAGGGAGAAGTAATTTCATATAAAAAAAAATCAAG